ATAACATTGTGTTAAGTAATTTAACCCAACTCATTACAAAATATGTTGACAACCAATGTGGTTAAATTTGTAGGGCAACATTTATTGAAAAGAGCCAAAAATGGGAGATTTGAAAGCTCATTGCACCACACACATGTTCAAGTCATGTAATTATACAAGATCATGTCAAGCTCGATTATGTCATAATAAGCAGCAATGTTTGCCCATTGATCGAAAGTGATCCATCTATTTCAATGCCAACATTGGTAGCATATAAAAAATGTTGATAATTAAAAAAAAACAAGGATAAATACATTTTTTGAATTTTATATGTTTGATTTAAGATAACTTACAAAATAACTCTTAGTAAAGTTATTCCGCTCAATAACTCATGGCGTGTGTTGAATTTCATCAATTCAATTAATTGATAAATTAAAAGTTATTAAATTTTACTATTAATTAATATAAAAAAATTAATTAGCTTTGGAATAAATTATTTGCTAATTAACAATATAATTGAAACATTAATTATTTTAAATTATTTAACTAAAATCTTATTGACAATTTACTATATGATCTTAATATTTTTGTATAATTAATATCTGGTTTTAAATTTGATATGAGAATATTATATATAATTAGATAAGATTTTAAGTTAGTATTTTATTAATAGTTGATAATTAGAAAATAAAACAAGGATAAATACAATTTTTTGAATTTTATATGTTTGATTTAAGGTAAATAAATATATTAAATTAATTAATAATTTATTTAAAATGTTAAAATTTAATTTATAAGTATGTAATAAATAAATATTTATAATTTTATAAATTATATTATCATTATAAATTATAAAATTAAATAATTTAAATTATAATTTTAAATAGAAATAAGTAGATGTTAATTATAAAAGTAAGTACATATAAATAAAGAATAATTAAATATATTATTATTATTATTATTATTCGTAATATAAAATTATTATATATTATTATTATAGTACAAGTATGAGATTGTATATTTGAGGATGACTTAAATAAATGAATTTGTACAAGTTATACTGACAACATACATATACATTTCAATAGCTTATTCATCAGAACTTCATAGTTAAGCGTGTTTGACCTGTAGTAGTACAGGGATGGGTGACCTTCTGGGAAGTTTCCTAGAAATTGCGTGAAATGTCGTGAAATAGAATCCTTGAGAGACCAAATATAAGGGTTCTTACATTAATAAATTTATTAAAATTAAAAAAAAAATTATAATTTCTGACGGAATTTTTCGACGAAATTTTCCGTTGGAAATTTTCGACGGGTTTTTTTTTTTTCTGACGCCATTTTTTCTGACGGATTTAAATCCGTCAGAAAAAAAATCCGTCAAAAATAAGCATTTTTCTTGTAGTGATAGACTATTTTGGAGTTTCAAACCATGTATTGATGGGTTTAATTATTGCAAGCTCATTGTTCAAGTTGATGGTACTTGGTTATATGGAAAGTATAGAAACATTCTACTAGTACCTGTTGGACAATATGGAAACAACAAAATCCTTCCAATAACATTTGTAATTATTGAAGGTAAAACAACGATTGCATGGTTCTTTTTCCTAAAAAATTTGAAAATACATGTCACACCTGAAAATGATATTTGTTTGATCTCAAATAGGCATGAGTCAATTAAGAGTGCATACTCATGAGTTAGTAGTGGGTGGACATCATAAAATTTTGTGCATGTGTTATGCATTTGACACATTGCAAAAAATTTCATGAAACAATTCAAAAATGCGGACGGAAGAAAACAAGTTGTTAACATGGGTTAGTAAATTTTTTCTTTATTCTTGCAATTAAAATAATTAGTTTCATTAACTAGTTTTCAACTTAATAATTTTATATGGTTTAAATTCTATAGCGTATGGCATGATTGAGTCTACATTCAATTACTATACAATAATCTAAGAAAAGAACTGGAGAATGAAAGTGTTATTTAATGACTTTATCAAATCCCATGAAATAAATGGACTTTCGCATGGGATGAAGGTCAAAGATGGGGAGCATATGACCACAAATCTAGTAGAGGCAATCAACTCAGTTTAGAAAAACCAAAAACCTACCAATTAGAGCATTGATTTTGTTGACTTACCAAAGGTGTAACAATTTATTAAAGGGAGAAAAGTCACAACTAAATTGAGATTCAGTCAAGTATACTTAAAAATATTAAACAAGGTCTTAGCTAATGCATAAATAAAGACAAATTCTTGCCATGTGCTTGAGTTTAATAGATGTGATATGCATCTCTTAATGCAAGAGACACTTAACTCAAAAGGGACAATTGACAAGACAATTCATAGTCAATCTAGATGAAATGGGGTGTAATTGTGAAAATTTCCAAAAATTACACATGTCTTGTTCACATGTCATTGCTACTTGTAAACGTACTCATCATGATTATAATTCTTATATACATTATGTTTGCACATTGGAATATATTTTCAATGTGTCCAAAGGATTGTTTGGAGAGTGCAATAAACAATATTGGCCACAATGTAATAAACCACAAATCCACCCCAATCCCAATATGAAAAGGAATAAAAAGGGTTATCCAAAATTCTCGTGTATACACATAGAAATGGATATAAGAAAATCTAATCAACTAAAAAGACGTTCCATGTGCAAGATCTAAATCATTCCAAGAAAAAATGTCCTTATCGTGTGGAAACTCCCAACCAATAATAGTAATTTCTATTTTTGTTGTTGTGCCTTTTATTTTGGTTTTTATGTTATTTTGATTTAAAGTCAATTTTAACAACTTCATTTGTTGTTTGAAATCTTTTTTTTTTTATCGACTATGATATATTAAAAATATTTATGAAAGTAATATTTTTACTTTCTTCTAATAAATTATCAAACACACATAAATTACAAAATTACAAAATTTTTCTTCTAATAAAGTAATATTTTTCTTCTAATAAATTACAAAATTTTAAAAATTTGCAAACTTGATTTATTCATTAAAAACTTTTAATTCAACGATTAGATCGTTAAAATTTGATATAAAACATGAGTTATTAAGTAGAATAAATCTTACTCTTGGAGTAAGTGGATCCCTCATCATATTTATTGCTAATGTGGTATAATAAAAAAATGTACATCAAAAAAGGAAAACAAAAGAATAATGGATATGTATAATTTTGAGAGTGAAAAAAGTGGGCACTCTAAATTGTGTACTATTAGTATAATTTATAATACGCTTAAATATATTTTTATTCCCTTAAATGTAAGTTAAAATTATTTTTGGTCCCTCAAATTTAAAATTAGTTTTTCTAATCTTTGTAAAAAAAAACTTATTTTAGTTCTCATGGTCAAATTTCGTTACTAAACTATGAAATATTGTCTCACAAAATTCACTTATCGGTATTCTTGTCAGTGAAAATATTACATTAAACTCAAATAATGTTGTATGATTATTTTGACGTGTCACTTGTGATCTAAGGTACTAAAATAATATTACTAAAATTTTCATTTTAAATTTAAGATACCAAAGATAAACTTACCCTAAATTTAAAAGGCTAAAATCCTAATTAAGCCTTTTATGATAAATAAATAAATTTGAGTATTTATTTTGAAAGAATTTATCGGGTTAAAATGCATTATTACACTATCCTTTAACCACATATTATCATATATGATAAGTTTGTTAACTTTTATAATAATTACTTGTAAAATTATACTAAAATAATTTAAAATTGATGAAAAATTGAATTACAATCAAAACTCCACTTTGAATAGTAAGATTCTCATTTTCTTCAACTTTTCTATTACCTAGCCCTTATATTTGTGGCAGTGACAATGACAGAGACAATAATTGTAACAATAATGATAATAGTGATAATATTGATCGTTATCACCGTCCCACACAATCTTCGCTTCCATCATTACCATCACCATGTGAAAGATATATTGTTAAAAATTAAATATGAAAAAATATTCAATAACATCCTCCTTAAAGAAAAATAACTACAAATATTAGTTAAAGAATGAAACTTAAAAGCACTCTATGTTGTGATAATAAATTTTTATTTAAAATCAAGAAAATGAAAATATATTTTGGTGTACAATGGTAATACCAAAATTTGAACCTAAAATAAAAGTATTAATTATCCAAAATTTTCACCACTAGACTAACACTAATAGGTAAAAAAACATGAAAATGCTGAAATGTAAACAGAAAATAAATTTCAAAGGAAAAGAAAAGATAAAAGAAAAAGCAGAAATACAAGTTATACGCGCCTCTTTATATTTGTTACGTTTAAATATTCGCTATTTTCGTGGGATTTACTATAACATTTTCATGTGTTTTCAACTCTCAAACTTCACGATAAACAGAAAATAAACAAATAAGAAAATAACTTACTTTTGGCTTTCCCTTTCAAACAACTTGATGACAATTCTATTGGTTATTAGCTATTATTCATTTGTCATTTGTGTTCTTATCACTTGCAGAATAATTGAGTAGCGAACCTGGACTCATTTTAACTAAAAAAAAATGGCTTAAATATGTTTTTAGTCCCTCAAATTTAAGATAAATTTATTTTTAGTCCTTCAAATTTAAAATTGTTAATTTTAGTCCCTGTAATTTTCAAAAATCTTGTTTTAGTCCCTTAAGTCACCAATAACATATTTGAAAGTGACTAATTATGATAGTTATACAATATCAACTGGATTTAATGTGATATTTTCACTAATAGGGACATGAATAGGTAAATTTTATGCAATAATATTTGATAAATTTCTTAACAAAATTTGAATATAAGGACTAAAATAAGATTTTTTGAAATTACAAGGACTAAAAATAACAATTTTAAATTTGAGGGACCAAAAATAGATTTACTCTAAATTTGAGAGACTAAAAACATATTTAAGCAAAAAAAAAAAATGCAAAGTTTATTACATGGATCATAAGCCTTTATATCAATAATTGAATTGTATACAATGTGGTTGTTAGTTTAGGTGAGTAAAGAGAAGGGCTAGCACACATACTATAATTAAAATTTCCCATCCGTAAACAAACGTATAACAGTATAAGCAGCCTTCTTCGCTAATGGGATCTTCAAAATCCGAAATGCAATTTGCAACAGCAGCAAAGCCAATGGTCATGAAAATATTACAATCAGCAGTATTTTATTTCAAGCGCTAACAAAAAAATACTCATCCACCCTGGACACGGTCTTCAGGTGTCAACGAATTACTTCGACATGTTTGTTCATAATGAAACACACCAACTTAAACACGGAGCAGAAATACCAGGTTGGAAAGAATTATAATATTTCAATGCACGCATCATCGCTTGACCAGATTTCCTTTATTACGATTCAGCAACACCAAGTATCATATTTCTTCAGTGGTGCTAAAATGCTTGGAGAAGGAAGCGTAAAGAATCTATTGCAAAAGTGCTCTGCGAAATGTCTCAGGTGAAAAAAATACTCTCCACCCAGAATCCATAGGAAATTATGGAGTATTATTATTTCATCAACTCAGACTAAACCCTTCCACTAATCTAGTAGCTAGCCATCCAGTGAAAGGCACAATGTTAAATATATTATGCACATATTCAGGATGCCAAAAAAATTGTAATGATCAAGCGATATGTTAGCCACATAGTGGCACGTATATAGCTTTTATTCTCCTCCTCTCCATCATAACTCGGCAATGAAGTTAGTATAGATGGATATTAGTTGGCTCTGTCATCGAGCTCAGGAGCCACATCGTGAACTGCTGATGTTGATTCTCTACCCATCGGGAGATAGGACCATGCTATTGCTGCAGTACCAAGTGCAATGGCTGTAGTAATAGAGCCCCAAATCCATCTCTGCCTTCTCCTCCTTCTTTGTCTCTCACGCCGTGCCATTTCTAAACAAGACAGCAAATAAAATATAGTTAGGATAAAACCGAAAAGCAGGCATATTTCATCTGTTATTCTAAATGAAGCAGAATAACATATGATATGAAGCAAGCCAAACAGGTACCCACAGAAAAGCAGGCACCTCCTTAGTTGCAGGTAAATAACACTACAATCGTGTACTTGTGCAAGCATTAGACAAAAAGCTCATCACATTACATACCCATTAAGAAAATTCAACCATCGTGGGACAATTGACCACTAAATAAAAATAGCTTCAAATCATGATGAGTGATCCGTTATAACTTAACATAGGTAGGCATGAATGGTAAAACCCTAATCTAGCAAGTAAATAACCTTAACTCCTAGATGTATTAGTTTATGTACCTAATATGTAAAAGGTACAGTAATAAATAAGGAGGCCAAAATGCTTAGGAAAATAAAACAGAAATTGAGGCTTTGAAGAAAATTTAGAAGCACAAAGCACTTGTATAAAGAATCCAAGCACAATATTTTTTCAGTGCATACCTAGCAAGCAATTGTAATACATGCCATAAAATCATTTTAGCATTTGGGCAGGTTTGGTAAATAAAAACCCTACAAGGTTGATTTGGGCTTATGAAACTGGCTGATAACCTAAATGAGAAGCCTATCAGAATAAATTCATTTTAGCTAATTTTCGTTGCTTCACAGTAAAGCTTATGAATAACCTCTCACATGATAACCAAAGTGTAATTATGCTGTTTACCCAAGTGTGCTCCAAGAAAAAATCCTCGAAGATATACAACTGTCATTTGACCTACTATTGCAATGGCAATGCATACAAGCATAAGATATGAGCTCATACTACATCATCATAACTATTTAATTGATCTTCACTTCACAATAATAATAAATGGCTTTTATATTCTTTCCTTTTCTTCCAGTAATTCTCTCTGTTGAGGTTTTGTGAGTATATAGCCCCATAATGGACATTATTAACACAACACCAAATAGCTTAGCATCTTACTTCTTGTTTACACTATCAAACATTCAACCCCACCTATGGACATACGACTCTAATACTTCACCAATAAAACTACGATACCACATTCACAATCAATGACCATGGAGCAGATACAGTGCCAATACCCAGTGTTTTTATTCAACTATCTCTTAACAAATACTCGTGTCATTTTAAATGGAAAATGGGGGATTTGTGTCTTGAGGAAAAATAAAATGACAAATCAAACCAATTCTAGCCCATAGCAAGCAACATATTTATCAAACATTAAAGCCAAAATAGATATATTCAGTTAAAGGTGGAAGAAGGATAAATGTAATATCAATACAATTGCTGACAAAAATCTCACCTACTGCTTCCTGATTCCTCTGAGACATCTCCCTATTCATGGTCTCATAACAGTGGAGACGTTCCAATAGTCGAGCAATCTCAAAGTTCTTTAACTCTAATTGAGCTTCCATCTCTGTCTGCGCTTCTGCCTTGGCAATTCCTCTCCCAATGCTGTTTGATATGAACCTAGCAATGTAAATTTGCTGATATACATCTTCCAGAGGGTCAGAACTCGGCTGCCCACTCTCAGCAGTAAGATCTGCAGGCAACACAATTCCCACTTGAGATAACCCTTGTCTAAGTCTCTCCCACTGGCTTTGCATGCTGTTAAGGGATTCTTCAACTAGCTTCCGCTTCTCTATCTCCATCAATAGACTCAACCTTATTTCCCGCAACTCAGCTTCAATATCACGATGAGAATTTTGAACCCCACTATCAGAAGAGAGTTCTACAGGGAGAAAAGAACCAAGATAATCTATATCATGAAATATTCGCAAATATGCACTAAAACTGATAAAGCAATGGAAAAACCAGGATATTCCTTCTATCACTGCAGCAACTTCCACACACAATGACATGAAGAAAAGACGGAGAAAAATGGAAATCAAGAGTTAAACTATTAATAAAATGAAAAGCAAAATGGTCCTATACTTTACACCCAATGTCAAATTCTATTCAAGCGAACATCCCTATGGTTGTATTTGTCTACATGCATACACTCAATTCCAAAGAAATAATTTGGCAGTGAAACTAGCTCAATTTACCTTCCCAAGCATCAAAAAATTCCCCACCAGCAGCATTGAATTTCATAGTTTGTTCTGTACCAGTAATATCTTCACCATCTGTGTAACTTTTAAAACTCATTGAATCATGCGGATCAAAAAAGTCTTCACTCTCGGTATCTCTTACCAAATTCAATGCAACTATTTTATCCATGTGTGACCCATTAAGAATACCACTACTTTCACTTTCCCCATGTCCATTCCCAAGGTCACCACCATTGCTGCTACTAAGGTTGTCATCATGTACACCATTCACCTGCACCTCCTTAAAAGGTTCAATGTTTGTGGAAGTTACTTGGATATCACCATCCGAACTGGCGACCACAGCCTCGTTGCCCTTACCGTTAGCATCTTCACCATGAGGATCCTCCTGCTTGGCCTGCACATTGGCCTCAGAAAAACTCTTCAGGAGGCGCGGGCCACGGCGCTTGTGATTGATGATGTACGGAGAAGGAGGGAACGAAGAGGGTGAATCCGGGAGCGGCGTCACTGCAGGAGTGGCATAGAGTGCTGGCTTCAATTGAGGACGAGGAAGGGGCTTCTTTTTTACGGTTGGTTCACTACTTCTCCTCTCGAGCTTCTTTGGGACAGGCATCGGGGCAGGTGCAGATTTATAAGCAGGTTTTGAAGCTCTAGGCTCTATCAACCTATCAAATGCTATGGCAGTAAAGGTCGGCATAGCTGTATGAAATCACATCAAAACAAATACATAAATGTCAAAACTCGAACAATTCATGAACGAAGACCGTGCCCAGGCCAATTCAACGCAATTTTCAATTATTCACATCTAATCTAATTGACGGAGATTAACAACACAGTTAGAAGTACTACCATACGCAAAGAAAAGCAAATTCCCTAACCTAATACAACACTTTATTAATTATTATCTCCTTAGAACACATCGAAAACAGAGGAATCTTTGCACAAATAATAATTTTGTGTTTCATTTGCAAAAGAAACAAACAGTAACAACCATAGAGAGAGAGAGAGAGAAAAAAAAGAAGGCTCACGAGGAATCTAAGATGTATAGGCGAAACGTAAAACGGAATTGAATTAGAAATCGGAATCGCTGTTTCTCTCGCAATCGAAATCTCTGGCTCTCTCTCTCTCTCTTTTTTTTTGTTTTCCTTTGGGCACGAAATTGAGGAGAAAATGAGAAAAGGTTAAAGAGGAAGAAGAAACGAACCTTGCGTGGGGAAGAAGAAGAAGAAGAAGAAGGAGAAAGAGAGAAAGGGTGAAGTGAAAAGGACTAAGTGGTGAAGGAGGGGGCGCCTGAAATGGGAGGCGAGGGAAGCTGCATAATTTTTGGATGTATGTTAATAACTGTCTCTTTGGGACACACTTCCCACATCTGTGGAATCAATTTCAACCTTCACCCTGCCCTAACCTAACCCCCTCTTCACTCTTTCACTTTTTTATTTATTTATGCAAATTTTGGTGGCAACTCCTCCACCTTCTCTTTTCACCAGATCTACAATTTTCTATTATTAGTTTTTTTTATTTATTTATTTATTTTCGGAAGATTCCTCCTCTTCCGTGGGCGTGCCACGAACGCGGATCTCTCGCGCATGGGCCCGGCCCGGCCCATTCGTCACATATTATTGACTTTTAACGAGTCTGAATATTTGGTGCAAACGTTTGAAAGGTGCCTTGTAAAGGAAACAACAATCAACGATGATAGGAAGAGTCGCGAGAACGAGAAGGTAGGTGCCAGTGCCACAGAGTCACGGGCTCTTCTTCTTTCTTTAAGACAAGTCTTCCTCTATGTCTCAAAAATAAATAAATAATAAGAGAGAGAAAACTTGATTTGGTTCACTTGTTACGTCCAACAGCACGTTGCATTCGCAATTTGAATATCATTGTCAACAGGTCAAGAAAGCGGGCTTTGAACTTTAGGCGTGCAAAATTGGTCATTCACGAAATTGGCTTTTCTTCTTGGGCTTTTTTTATTCTTCATTATTTAATTATATATAACAATATTTATTATGCAAAAAATAAAAATAAAAATATATTCAACTACCAATAACTAACGGTTTAATGACATGACATGACATGAGTGATGAGTTCATGGATTACGTACCCACACGATTAAGGATGTTTTGGAGTGTGGGAATGAAATACCGTTCCCTACTTATTATAGGAATTACGTCATTTTAATCTTTGTTTATGAAAATAAAAAATTGTGGAATATTATTTAATTTTTATCTTTTATGAGTTTTGATCTCAATTTAGCTCATTAGGTGCTTTTATGATTTATTCAATTGACATTTCATTTATATAAGATGTTTTTTTTTTTTTTTTGTCTTTTTCATAAAATATTTATGTCTTTATTTTTATATTTATGATAATAATTATGTATTATTATTTTAAAAAAAAAATAAATTATCTCTTTGAGAAAAGATCCTAAGGCTGTCATTACATCTACTTCATTATCATCAACATTCGGTTGACGCGGTACATTTCGATCTATTTTTACAATTTTATATAATTGTATTTCTGTTTTTTAAGAAAAGGTAAAATTAGAATTTTGTACACTTTTTTTTCCCTTCTAAACCATAGGTATTATTCTTAAAGACAATATGTTTGAGTTATGTAGGGTAATTAAAAATAACAAAACTTTTATTCTTAATATTTATCATAATTACATATCTAATTCTCGTTTATGGAAATTTTATATATTTTGAACCAAGTAAACATAAGGTAAGTCATAACAAAATGTCAATGAAAGCACCTAACATTTCCATTATTGAAAGATGAGAAGAAAATCATTATTTTAATTAACTAATTTTTAATTACTAAATTGATAAAGCGATCAATATTTAAATTACGCAACTTTTAATAAATGAAATTTTTTATATGAAAGGTAATCAATAAAACATTATATGAAAATTATTTCAGAAATAATGGTTAATACATCTTAAGGTAGGGATTCATTCCACCAAAATAAAAATAAAAATAAAAAAAGTTGGGATTCTTTTACTTTGGTTCATATGTAACATGATTTTTTTCGAATTCAAGATATAAATTTCTTTATTAAAGATTAATTAGGTTAAGTTTAATTCTTTTTGACAATTAACTCTTTTATCTAATTCAAGAGTCGTATTCTTTTTTAAAAATATTTTTAAGATAGTGTATTGAATTGAGATTAAAAAAATTATCTTTCATCATTATTTTTTTTTTGTAATTTTCAATCAAAATTTGAAAGTACTATAAATAAGTCATGTAATATTCAATCAAAATTAACATAATTTTTTTAAAGAATATGTAAATTAATAATATTCAATTGAGATTTTTTATCGCTTACAAAAATTTAATTATTGAAAAAAATACAAATTTTGATTTATAATTTTGTATAACTTTTTAATATAGAAATTTTAAATATAACATGATTCATCTAATAATCTCTTTAAAATCTTTGAGACTTTGTATGACTTTTTCATTCTCTTCTTCCTTTTTCTCCTTGTCTCTCTTATTCTTTTGTGTCTTTCTCATTTTTTCACTATTTCTCATCTCCCCTCTTTAAAATGTTTTTCTTACTGCATAAAAAGTTATCAATATTTATACTTTTAAATTATTAAATATTTAAAACTGTCATTGTAGCTAAAATTCGACATAAAAACCATCATTCATCAAATCCAACACAAAATTACACGTGCATCGAGGTTTGAATTTACAAATGATCATTTCAAGATTTTACCCAAAAACCCCACATGTGAAAACATCAAATTATACCAACCAACATGATACATTTTCATAAAATCTGAACTAAAATTAAGCTTTCCTTACCTTAATCAAGCTTCCAATGAAAAAAAAAATAATGTAGCAGAAAGCTCCCCTCAAAAGCCCCAAAATAAAGCTCCTATGATTTCAATCTTCAAGTTCTCAACTCCAACAATCATCCTTTTGCTTCAATTTCTAGCTTGAAGAAGGTCTCAAACATAAAAGGCAACCAAAAGTTAGAAGGGAGTTTTGGAGGTTCTAGAACCCTTCTTTCTAATTTATCTTTCTAAAACTTGAAAACTAAAACTTATGAGGTTTCCTTTTCAAATTTCTTATATATACAACAATCCTTTTTGGGCAAATTTTACTAATACTTAAGCTATAATTTTATAACTTAAGCCTAGGGTTGTTTCATCACTAACCATTACCCCCACAATAGGTAAAACAACATAAAACATCATAAACATACACATGTAACACAAACATGTATTAAATGAAGACATGGTGTTACAATGTTTGGATAAAGAAATTTAAGAGAGTAATTCATTTTTTGGTGAATTAATGTCTTTACCTAAAATATTTTGTTTGGATTGAGAATTTAGAAAGAAATTGAAATTCTAACAATTTATGAAAGAATTTTGATTACTTAAAATTGTAGAATCTCAAATTTTCCCAAAAAAAAATAAGATTTTATATTTTTTTATATTTTTTCTCTATCATGTCTCACTTAATATTTTTCCTTTCTTCTTTCTTTCTCTTTCTCTCTTGTTTCCCTTGTCTTCTTTCTCTTTCTCATTCCTTTATCTATTTTTTCTCTCCTTCTCTTCTCCATTTCTTTTCTTTTTCTTTCCTCTACATCTCTCTTTTGTCTCTTTCCCGCTCTTCTTTCTTTTATCACTCTCCTTGTCTATAATGTCTTGTTCTCTTTCTCTTTTTTTCTCCTTGTCCTTCCCCCTTCTATCTTTCTCTCTCTCCTCTCTCTTTCTTTTCTCTTCACTCCTCCTAATTAAGAACTCAAAATTTAATAAATTTGAATTGATTAATCTAAACAAAGTGTTTCATAAATGAAGAAAAATTAAATTAAAGTAATTCAAACTTCAAAAATTTTAAATTCCCTAAAATTTTGAAATTCATCACCTAAACACAACCTCAATAACACTTTGTCTACATATATAGAAGCCCTCTATGCAACAAACATGAGAAAAATCCTTTTCTCAACAAGTGACCTCCACCCAAACAATAAATATATTTGGACCAAATTGATGGTGGATATATCACAAGCAATGACCTCCACTCAAACAACAAATACATTAGTTCATGATTACAATGAACACCAGCACAACTTGCTACTAAATTCGATATACAAAATTTGAATTTGATACTAGAGAGCAAATAATACTGTGAAATTTATTTCAACTCTTCCATATATAACATAGGTTGAACTTGTCAGTGGTAAAACATAAGATTTGCCTTTTTAACTTTATAATTGATCTAGCTCCACAAAGTAAAAATTGCATCCTCTACAATTTTTTCTGCATAAGGGACTTTATTATTAAATATGCATTGATTCCTTTGCAGCCACATTGAATAAACAATAGCACACCATATAATTATGTTTAATTTTTGCAATTATTTACTTTTCATGATTCCCAAATACTGAAAGAAATGGGAAGCACAATCAATAGATAAAGGTAGTTGTATACCTAAGTAGCAATAGCATTTTTGCCAAACAGGATAAACAAATGAACACCCAAATAAAAGATGCTCAGCTAATTCCACATGATTTCTACAAAAGGGAAAAACAAATCCTTATTAGGTTGAATAATTTTCCTTTTAGCCAATTGATCTCGTGTTTGAATTCGATTTAACAATACTCTTCGTACAAACACCTTTGAAGGAACCTGATTTCCTATAGTAGCTTTAAAATATTATTAATACTTAAAAAATTAGATTTATTAAAGGTGTCAAAGTGAGTCAACTCATGAGTTAACTCACTACGAGTTGGTGTTTTAAAGGAATCAACCTAACTCGGGTGACTTTCTAATGAGCCAAAAAAAATTCAACCTACCTTGACCCACCATAGGTTAATAGATTGACTTACCAAATTTTTTAAAAATAAAATATTAAAAAACTAAAAATTTAATTATATGTTTCTATTTTTAATAAATAAAATAAAGAGTTATAAGTTTTATATAAAAAAATTAAGTCTATCATTGATTCAAATTCAAATACATAAGAAGATATCAATCAAAATTTTAAATAATAATTATATAAAATATAAATATATTTTATTATTATTATTATTTTTAATTACAATAGGTTAAATGGGTCAACTCAACACTTAGGCTCAAATCAGTTTGGCCAAAATCAATATAATTTTTTTTCTTAACCTAACACGACTTAGACCCGTGGTGAGTTTAACTCGTTTTGACACCTATAAGATTTATGCAGCAAACATTATCCATCTCTTACTAAATAAACCTAAAAACTATTTCTAGACCACAACTAGCTATCCACAAAATTGATTTTAGGCTTCATCTCATCAATTTCTTGAAACATATTGTTAACTAAATTAAAACCCCTATCCAATAATTCTCTTGTCCAGTTACCATTCCAAGCCCATTCATTACTGTTCCAATTACCTATACCAGAGACCAATGCTAATTTATATTTGATGACAAAGCATACAATCTTAGAT